CATATCGATGAAGAAAAATATGAAATGTTTACTGCTAAGTAATTAACGATAATTTATTCAGTGTTGTTAGATTACTCACAGCGAGCTGACACACACACTACATAAATTACAAATGCGTGTGAGTAGCTTGCGTTCAGCTACCTTTGGCTTTTGGGGACACGTGCACTCAGAACTTGTACGCATCCCCCGATAGCCGAATGTGACCGAACTCATGGTCTCAGTTTTCCAATCATAGTTTTGTACGATATATTGGTGCTTGCATGTGCATGCACTTTGCTTTAATTCATATTGTTACGGATTTCATAGTTATTTATTTATTTAGAATTGTAATTAGATTTGCTTCATGTTGCCTTAGCAACGCAGACGACTTTTGAAAAGATAGCTGCGTTGGAAGGTTAAAAATAGAACAGCGCGTGCATTTAATACCTAATAAATGAATATCTCGTAATTGCTGTTGCCATCCACAAAAATCCAGATATTTATAGATGTTTCCAGTATATTCGAGAAATTAATTATAAAGCTTATAAAAGCCGAGAACAAACAACTCATCTCAGTAGTAGCTGTAGTTCTAGCGAACTGTTTGTTTACTTAATGCTGTGATTGATTTGTAGCGATTTTGCTGCGAGATAGAATTAGTTTCTCTGTTTTGAATTGATTTTTGCTAAACGTTTGACATTTTGTGATATTGTTAGAATATTTTTGAAGAAATATTTCAGCATTTTGATTTATCTCTTGTGGAAAGAATAAATTTTTGTTAACTTTTAACGTTAACCGTGTTTATTCGAGCCCTTTGTATTCAGTATGTCTATATCAAAACCAAGTGGTAGTAAAATTAAACGAAAAATCGCCGACGAACATAGAATATTCCAAGTAAAATGGGAATTAGAATATGTTTGCTGTGAAATAAAAGATAAAATAATCTGCTTGATATGTAATAATACTATTAATGTACCAAAGTTATGTAATATTAAACGTCATTACGAACAACACAAATCGAAATATAACAATTACGAAGGATTAATGAGAGAAGAAAAGTTGAAAGAGTTCAAGTTAGGAGTGAAAAAGCAACAGTCCATGTTTAGTAAAGTATTGCAAGAAAGTGAAGCGGCGGTACATGCAAGCTACGTCTTGTCCGAGTTGATAGCTAAACATTCGAAGCCTTTTACTGATGGTGATTTCATCAAGGAATGCCTAATGAAAGCTGGAGAAATTGTTTGTCCCGGAAATGTGAAGGCTTTTCAATCAATTTCATTGTCTCGAAATACTGTTACTGAATTAGCCGTGAATTTAAGTGATCAGATCAAAGCAAAATTATCTAGTTTCGAAAGTTTCTCCATTGCCTGTGACAAGAGCACAGACATTAGTAGCAAAGCTCAATTAGCAGTGTTTCTTCGTTCTTGTGACAAGAATTTTAACATTTTTGAGGAATTACTGGAACTAATACCGATGCCTGGTACTACCACAGGAGAAGATATATTTACTTGTGTTTTTGGACTTCTGCAGAAGTACAATCATCCTTTGGCAAAATTAAATTCTGTAGCTTTAGATGGCACTCCATCAATGACCGGGAAAAACAACGGCTTCGTATTCACGGTTCAAACATTCATCATATGCATTGTATTATACATCAAGAAGTTGTATGCACGAAAGTAATAAATATGGAGAATGTTTTGTCATACCGGGTGATCAAAAAGTCAGTATAAATTTGAAAACTTAATAAATCACAGAATAATGTAGATAGAGAGGTAAAAATTGACACACATACTTAGAATGACATGGGGTTTTATTAGAAAAGCAATAATCTGATCAGAAAAGCAATAATTATCATAATAAATTAAGACAAAGCTAAGATGATGTTCTTTACAGGAAATGCTCAATATGTTCACCATCATTCCTCAACAATAGCTGTAGTCGAGGAATAATGTTGTGAACAGCACTGTAAAGCATGTCCGGAGTTATCGTGAGGCATTGGCGTAGGATGTTGTCTTTCAGCATCCCTAGAGATGTCGGTCGATCACGATACACTTGCGACTTCAGGTAACCTCAAAGCCAATAATTGCACGGACTGAGGTCTGGGGACCTGGGAGGCCAAGCATGACGAAAGTGGCGGCTGAGCACACGATCATCACCAAACGACACACGCAAGAGATATTTCACGCGTCTAGCAATATGGGGTGGAGCGCCATCCTGCATAAAAATCGTAACATTTTTTTAACTTTTTTTTTGGTTCTAATAAAACCCCATGTCATTTTAAGTATGTGTGTCAATTTTTACCTCTCTATCTACATTATTCCGTGGTTTATTAAGTTTTCAATTTTATACTGGCTTTTTGATCACCCAGTATATAAAAAAAGTTATAAATTTTATATGATCTCGAGGTTTAAATCAGCATCAATTCACTGCTTTCTTAAGTGAGTTAGATAGTGAATATTCGGGTTTGTCCTACTATACCGAGGTACGTTGGTTATCTTGCTCCAAGATTCTCAAACAATTCTGGGATTTGAAAGAAGAAATATGTCAGTTTTTAAAAACGAAAAATCAAGACGTAAATTTGTCTTACGATCCAATATGGATACAAGATTTATCTTTCTTGGTTGATATAACCAAACACTTAACCGATTTAAATTTATCGTTACAAGGAAAAGATCATATCATTATGAACATGTTTGACATAATTAAAGCTTTCAAATGTCAACTAGTTCTTTGGGAAAAACAACTTAAAAATTAAGATTTGACGCACTTCCCGACGTGCAGCATGAATAAATCAAGTTTAGGTGATACTTGTTCGTATCAAAAATATGCAGAAAAAATTGCGAATTTAACAACTGAATTTGAAGCGAGGTTTAATGATTTTAGTTCCCTCAAAGACAAATTTTTTTTGTTTTCTTCGATTTTCTCAATAAGTATTGACTCAGTACCCAGCCACATGCAAATGGAAGTGATCGAGATTCAATACAACTCAAATTTGAAAGCAAAATTCATTGAAGTGGGCGTGCCTGAATTTTACAAATATTTACCAGCCAGGTTTGAAAATACTCGAAAATTCGCATATGAAATTATTTCCATGTTTGGTAGCACTTATCGGTGCGAGCAGTTATTTTCAGTCATGAAAGGTAATAAGTCTCCTATTAGAAACCATATTAATGATGCTCACCTTGGGTCAGCGTTGAAAGTTATCACTGCAAACAAAATTTCTCCCGAAATAGGAAAGATAATAGCAGAGAAGAGATGTCAAGTATCAGGACGTAAACATTAAATTTTTCTTGTTCTTTTCTATATAAATATATATATATATTTATTATTGTATTATTCGAAATAAATCTACGTTTCTATGAATATTTTTTTTTTTTTTTTTTTTTTTTTTTTTTTTTTTTTGCGGCTCGCCTAAAGTTAAACCTTGTTTGTTTGGCCCAAGTGTACCTATGAGTTTGACAACCCTGCTTTAATACAATAGTGTCCAACTGGGTTTCTCTAAAGGTTCATGCTTCGCGGGCACCAGGTGTTTTATGTTTGCAAAATGCAAATTTCATGAAAATATGTGATTTTAGTAGATGATTTTTTGCGTCCAAATAATAAGAAAAATTAATTTTAATCTTAAAAGAAATTAACAAAATCTATTTATAAAATCTAACTGTAGTGTAGGTTCAGACTAATTTTATTTCAGATTAGAATATAAAGAAAAGTACACACTAATAAATTAATTACTAATATAAGAAAATGTAACTGTTAAATTATCAAATATCTCAATAAGTCTGTGCTGCATGAAGTCATTAACTTGTTATTAATGAGATATTTGATAATTAATATTCTCTCAAACTTCTTAAAATTTGGCATATTCTAATAAACGGCATGCCAGCACTATGTTGTTTTGGTAAAAATATATTTACAGGTACCCTGGTGAAAATTGGCAATTTTTTGGCGGTACATGGATACCAAGTTTATGCAATTCTTTGACTTTTTATTTTGGCTTTGTGTAGCAGCAATTTTAGCACCAAAAATGTATGTCCACTTAAAGCAGACCTGAGTCAGTCTTTACCACTGAAATCCTAATGAATAGTTTTTATGATGACATTCAATATTTGATCCCTTTGGTACTGCTACTGAAAGTCAGTCGCAAAGCCAGATGAATGTCTCGGCAGTAGTAGACATGCAGTGATGCCAGCAGCGAACAGGGCTTGTATTAAAGTAGGCATTCTGATCATAATTCGCCATTCAGTTGAAACATTGGAAATTGAATGTTTTTTACATTAGGATTAGAGTCAAATTTTTGTCTCATGGTGATACTGTGTTTATAGCTGAGTGCCTAAAGAGAGGACTGCGGATCACTAGATGCTCATGAGCCACCTTTTGGACACCGCTGGTCTAATATGTAAGCGTTAATATTTGTGTATTTTGTAACAGTTGCCATGGTCCAATTTGCAAAACCAAAGACCCCCTACTGTAATTCTTTTCAGTGTAACAGTTATCACTGATACCAATGATATGAAGTATTTTGTGAAATAACCAAATTATTTACCTTTTTTTTTAAAGATCTTTTAACAAAAAGTACATTTCATCTTTCTGTATGTTTTGTTTTTATGTTTTCAGTCATTTAGGTGTTGTAGTACAAACCTATGCATTTTCAAACAAGAAAGGCCTGAAAATCTGTCACGATTACCAATTAAATGCTGCTTTTTAAAGTGGGCAAGAATTCATGACTTTTCAGTGGAGCTGCAAATAATCAGAAAGTGCCAAATTTTATTTATATTTCCAGTCTTATATTTTAAAATCTAAAATTGATAAAAATTATAAAAGATTGTACATATTTTAAATATTAAGGGAAAGATTTGAAGGTTTCCATAAAGGGAAGGCCTAGAGCATTGCAAATGTGGTACATGTGCTAATGTGGCGCATGCAAATTATTGTCTCTTTATTGTTTAGAGAATTGTCTGAAGCAGTATTTTTGTTATTATACCTATTAGACATGTAAGAATTGTTTAATTTTTATTCTTTGTTTTTAGATGCTCATAGTGATTTACTGTCATTAAAGGACTATATGTTAGATTTTGAAGATATTAGAAAAAATGTGAAAGCTTTGCGGTCTGCTGTGTTACGTATTGAACCTGTAGTGAGTATAAAGTGAACATTTTCTGTTTGTTAATGGGCAAGTGTTATATTATAGACTTTATTCACTACATAGTATATTTGGACATAAATTTGTCCCGAACATAAAATTGCTCATTTTTCAGAAAGCAAGTGCTAATTTTTTATAGGTTTTATAAAGAAAGCAAATTTTCAAATTTGTAATCAATATAAGTGCTAATTAGATCAGATGTGAAAATTATCAAGAATTGAAATTATTAATATTTAAGCAGAATATTGTCATTTTTATGGTTTTGTAGCCTTGACTACTAATGTTTAAAAATAATTTATGACTAGTAACAGCATGAATTATAAACAAATAGCTAAGTTATTGCATTTTATTTTCCAGCTATCGAAATGCGACGCTACGAGCAAAGTTTTGAAACCAAAACCTAGCAATCATGAATCAGAACTAGAACTAGTTGCCATTCAGCATAAAGAAATTTAAATATAAATATGAATATTAACAAAATATTAAAGTTAATTTTATAAAATAATTAAACACATGAACAAATATATGAAATAAAAAATAATTATTTCTCATGCACTAACTGGGCCACTACACTCCGGGTCACCACGATGTAGCCTTGACTACTAATGTTTAAAATAATTTATGACTAGTAACAGCATGAATTATAAACAAATAGCTAAGTTATTGCATTTTATTTTCCAGCTATCGAAATGCGACGCTACGAGCAACGTTTTGAAACCAAAACCTAGCAATCATGAATCAGAACTAGAACTAGTTGCCATTCAGCATAAAGAAATTTAAATATAAATATGAATATTAACAAAATATTAAAGTTAATTTTATAAAATAATTAAACACATGAACAAATATATGAAATAAAAAATAATTATTTCTCATGCACTAACTGGGCCACTACAGTTTCAAATTTTCAATTCAAAGTTTTTCTGTGCTTCCACGCTGCTCTGTGATACACAGCTTAGGGAAGGAATTAATTGAAATTATTAATCATGGGCGTAGCCAGCTCAAAATATCGGGGGAGGGGGTATGACTCCTATGGTATACTGTTCTTTTACCTATTATAGCATCTTCAAGTATATGGGTAATTATTACGTAACGAATATATTATGCTAATGATGGTTACCTTAATATAAATAATAATTGTATTGTAAATTTTATTAATAATAAAATTATGTAACATAATTATGGATGTACTGCATTTTGTTATCGTATTCATAATTATTATCTTACAAACATAAATGCATAGCTCAGTATTTTTGTTTCTCACCTTAACCACTTTAACCTTCATTAAAACAATTTTAAAAAGCATAATAAAAGAAATAGCAAATAACAAAAATAGAATAATGCTTGTAAAAGTACTTTTAGTATTTTACATTCATTTCTGAGGTACACACCCACATACATACAAAAAGAAATGCTAAAATAATTTTAAAATTCGTATTACTTTGGTTTCATAACACTCCTATAAAGATAAATAAATATATAAAATCTGTATTTTTATTGTATACATAATAAAGATATTAAAATAAATACATAAATGTTGTAAGTGCATCATTTATTTTGGACATAAAATTAAATGGTATATAAAAAGGGGAAAAAAAAAGAAAGAAAAAAATTTTCTGTCCTTTCATTTTGGTTAGGCATTTAAAATATTCCTGAATTTCATTTTTCGTGGCTGTTAACTCTTTGAAATCCAGACCCTTTGCTAAACTGTATCCTCAAAATACCGAATCGCCCGAAATACTTTTCCAGTTTCACAGCAATTTCCTCCCCTCCCTGTCCATTAACGCAGAAAATAGGTATGAAGATTTCGAATGACATCCTTTGTACTTTCTAACAAAGATTCCATTAGCCTTTGACCCCCATTTTTTATAAAACTATTCTGAAGGTCAGACCAGCAAGCTTTACTTGCTTTGTTATGATCAGGACTTAGATTTTGTTTATTTCCATTATTTTTATAGGAAGGAATAAATTGATTAAAAATAAATATAATCCTTAAATTTTTAAACTGCAATTTTATTGCTGTTTAAAGCTTAAAAGCACACTGTACCACAAAAGTGTCAACAACGAAATGTCACGAGCAAGCAAAAGATAAGAAACCTCTTAGGACAAGCTATCCGCAGTAAACTGATACAATGCATTTGGGGAAACTGTGCCTACTACTGCATACCTTAGGAGGAGGGAAGAAAACAAGATTACAATCTTGGCCGTTTTCGGGCAGTTCTGGTTTTTTCAATGTAGGGCCCTGTCAGGTGGATTGGTTGTGAAAGAGTTAACTGGCAGATGATATATCAATAATTTTCTCAATTGATATTTCTTTGGTATAATGAATAGGCATTAATGCCAAAGAACTTCTGTGCTTTTCCGTCATAGTATCTCTGTTCTAATTTCGTAACCTTTTTAAAACACTTATGGAATGTTCGCTTCGCACGATGTTATCGGCAGTGTAGCTGCTCTATGCAAAAGCGCGTCAGTATTTGGGGAAAAGTTTTTATTTGAAGCTAAACGATTAAAATAAAATAGTTTTGTAGTAATTAAACACAGAATGAGTATTATTTCAATAGATTTGCTTTCGAATGATGTGTGGTATTTTAAGCTCGACATCTAATCTTTCACACATTTCCACAGCATGATCAAAAATACTCCTAAAACTCTTTTCTACATTTTCACACACTTGATAAAGTATTTCACACACTTGAACTTGATGGTAAAGTGGTTAAGAGTGCCGACTGGGATACCAAACGGCCGGAGAAGGCATGGTTGTTACTGTCTGTCCCTTCATAAGAGAAAGATGGCCCACCTATTAGGTGCCTCCATAATAAAGTCACCATCACCTCTGGCCTTAATAGTGGCCAAGAAGAAGTTTGCTGAAAGCTCGCCATTAGGGGGAAAAAATTCACGCTCAAAAATATAAAACACAATTATTTAATGATATGTTGTTATGAATGTTACAATAAAAGCAAATGGAATGATTGAATTCAGCAGAACCACAGCGTCTTGCTTACATTGCACACTCCATGGATTATGGAGTACACAGTGTGCTCTATGGCTTCAATGATATTTGAAAAAGCTTTGATAAAAATGCTGGTACGCCTTATGCTGCGTGGCCCATCTTGTCCGGCAAAGGTCTAATATAATTTTTCGTCAACCTAAATTATGAGTTGCATTCTGATTCACAATTTGAATAAGAATATAATTTTGTTCAGGAATTTTTTTTTTTTTTTTAATTCAATTGGTTCAGCATATTGTGAATTTCAGGAATTTTGAGTGTATGATTATAAGATTCAGGCAGTGAGAAGTGCAATGCACATAGATTGCTTTTGGAGCAAAAGTTTTAATCCAGAGATTGAACTCCGACTTTTTTTTTATAGCATGTTACGTGCTCCATCATAACTCTGACCTCTAATGTTGTTAGCATCTAATCCAAATTTTGAAATTATTAAAATTATAGAGGATGAAATAAATTGCCCTATAATACTATCTAGTCTGAGAAATTATAAGAATTATTCTCTAACATCTTTTTGACTATCGACAAATCTTATACACAGTGACGAAGTTTTCCCATTATTTGAAGTGACTTCATAAGTGACAAAGTGACAGGCCTTGAAGTGTAAAAGTTTAGGTTAAGGTATTTTATTATGGTAAAAGCATCTCAGGGTTAACTGCCTAAGGAATAGGATACCTTCGTAGAGGATTTTCTAATAGAAACTGGATTGTATTCACATTATACATGGAGAAAACTGAAAAAAAAAAAAAAAAAAATCATACCTCAGCCATCCTGTTACTCGGAATTTCAGCCCCGATTAAAATTACTTTTACTTAGCAATTTTATTCATGAGCGTAAAATCATTCATAATGAAATTCAAAACGTGTGAAGCTTCTGTTTTTATTAAGTAATGCAAAAGTATATGCGGTGTGTACTAGAAAACTGAAGTTACATGTTCTATATAAATAAATCGTTAATTCTTATTTTTTCAGGAGGCATTTCATGCATTTTCCGAACTACATAATATGTTTGAAAAGCAAACATTTATTTATTTTTCTTTGATTTCTTTTGCACTATTAATTGATGGAGTACTGCTTGTATTGCTTTTATTTAAATACATTATCTAGTATTTTTGCTTTAGTAATTAACAAAAGCCCATTTAAAAGCCTATTTTATATGAAAAATTTCTGAATTTTCGATATTTTTGGATTCTTTGGCATTTTGAATTTCTAGCTAATAAGTTTTCTGTACTATTTAAGAATTTCAGAAATTCTCTTTCATGTACATTTTAAAATATTTCACATAATACATTTATTATACATCTAAAACCAGATTACTTAAATTATTACTCTTGATTGTAATTCTCGAAATATTGTAAATAATTATTTTATTTACAAAGTATGATGCATAATGAAATAAGTGCATAATCATGTATGCAATGTTTTTTGCAGTTTTCCTTTAAAAATAACTAAAAGCTTTTTAAGAAACAGAATGCCTTGCCTTGGAGGGAGGCTTGATAGCTTAATGTAACTGAAAATGAAATTTCTTAGCCACCAAAACGTAAGACACTATAAAGTACAAATAGACTTATATTTAAACTTAGACATTTAATGGTATTACACAGAAGAGTAAATTCATAACAATATAAGAAGAATAGTGAAAACAGTATTTGAAACTTATCATATGATAAATTCATTTCACAGTTTTTATCTCAATGTGAGAAAGATTTTTAGTTAATAATAATTTAAATGTAAATAAAAATGGATTTCAGGCAATGCTTTATCTGTAAGAAGAGTCAACAACTGCTATGCTATAGAATGCACTTTTGCGCTTTTTATGTTCTAGTCAATAAATACCCTAAGAAATATACAGTTTTTCTCCCTTCAGTTAAACAATTTATTGGAAATCATTCATTCGAATATAAAATTAATTGTTATATCTGTATTATTCAACTATTTTAGCTTTGTGAAATTTGAATGCATTAAATACTATGAGTCTTTTTTAAAACGAC